TGTGGGGGAGAGGGGGGTTGCTGGAGGTGTGAATGGTTGTGTGGAGAGGTGTTCAGGGCGGGTGTGGGGTGTTTTTCAAACCTGCAGTAGAATTCATTCAGATCGTCTGCCAGTTGTTGAATGTCCACAGTGCTGGGGGATGGTGTCTTGTAATTGGTGGTTTCTTTTGGACTTTTCCACACTGATGCGAAGTCACTGGAAGAGAATTGAATCCTTATTTTTTCAGAATAATTCCTCTTTGCCAGCCTGTTCTTCTTTTCCAGTATCCCCCTTCCTGTGAACATCTAGACATTATCCCCCTAGCTGTCTGAGGTGTATTTAGCCTGTTTTTACAAGACATTATCCCCCTTCCTGTAAGCATCTTCTTTGGCCTGACGGAGCTGTCTGAGTTTTGCCGTGAACCATGGTTTGTCGTTGTTGGAGGTTAAATGAGTCCTGGTAGGAATGCACATATCTTCACAGAAACTGATATAAGTTAAAAATTATGAATGGTTTTATTTTTACGATTTTGTTTTAATTCAAATGATGCGTGTGCTAAGTGAGTGAACATCAAAGATCACACAACAGAGTTGCGCACTCTCTCTCTTCCTACCATTAAGTAACGTGTGCATTGTTTTACTTACTTGTTTTTGACATATCCGACCGAACTACAAACTTTCCAATGATGTCTGTGAGAAAGGTATATTCACTCAACAAGCTCGCGCATGTGTGCCGCTGCGCGCTCAATCCACTCAGTGTGCTTTGTTTATCAGCTCGCACACACCAGCTATACAGGCGTTAATACTGAATGTTTAACATTATATTCATTGCATACATATACTTCGTAGTAGACATCCATAACTCCTTTCTGCTGTCTGTTGTCAGTGTTTCTTTGTTTGAATATGGCGTTTATCACATGCTGTGTGGTATCGGCATTTGGTATCGGGGCATTTTAATGAGTATGAGTACAGGAGGCCAGTATCGGGCCCGATACCGATACCAGTATCGTTATCGGTGCATCCCTAACGGAAATTTTATGGTGCTTTATGTTTTTGTGCCTTTCGTGGGGCTTAACAATAACACAGAATAGTATACGCACAATATCGGATTTGGATCGGTCTCATCAGATCCAGCAGAAAGTGGCAGTATCGGAGCGATACTGATACCGATACCGAATATCGGATCGGCGCACCCCTAATTAATACAATAGGATCACGACACACACACAATAAAAACATACATACAACTTAAATAAATGCAAGGCAGCAATTAAACCTCTTAAAGAGGTCATATGATGCGATTTCAAGTGTTACAAGCTGATTGTGCATAGATAAGATCCCTGAAGTTGCAAAGACTAAAGTCTCAAAACCAAAGAGATATTCTTTATCAAAGTTAAGACTCTGCCACGCCCCCCTAAAACGGCTCATTCTAACACGCCCCCACATATCTACCTCACAATGTGGAAATATTAGCATAATGCGCCCAAATGTGCACACAAAGAAAGAAGGCGTGGTTTCAGTAACCGCAGTTAGTGTTGAAGCAGCATGTCAGGGAGACGCTGTGTGTTTCTAGAAGAAAGCAAAAGCACTTTATTTGGCCTTCCGGAAGTAGATGCATTTAGGAATCTTTAAGATTACTTACAACAGAACAGCAATGCATTTTATGGACGACCGTTTCGTGAACCTAGGAGAGGAGGTCATTCTGACTTTGCTATGACAATCTGGCGCTTCTGAATCAGCTACTGTTTTGTTATTAGCTTAAGTATTTGCTATTGACTGTTCAAATGCAGAGTTTTGCGCATCGTGTGTGTGTGTGTGTGTTCGAGAGAGAGAGGGTCACATCACAGAGTCAGCTGTCTTAACCGTGGCCATAGAGGACCTACAATAATGTACAGTATTTGAAAAATAATGTGTTTTTTGAACATTAAAGCATGTCAACATATTCTGTTACACCAAATACACAAAATAATGATCTTTAAAAAAGCATCATATGACCCCTTTAAGTTGCAAACATTATTTTGATGGGTTCTGCTGACATAATAATAATGCAACTTAATGTTGTGTGTACATTAAACTGACATTTCGGTTATTATTATTTCTTTAAAAATTCAATTGAATAACTTTGAGTAATTAACTTAAATATTTGTGTTTATGCCACACGTTTCTTCTTTAACCTTATTTCAAAGACAATAGAAGTCATTATGAAATTACATATAAAAGTGGGTCAAAAAAATCACACGTAATTTCAACTAACTGCATTTAATATAAATTTAAACTCTAATACATTTTCATTCAATTCTGAATAACTTCTAAGTGTCTGAACACATTACATCCAGTTTGCACTTAAGTATATTATGTATATTATGCTAAAGTGTACTAATTTTTCCCAAGGCTGATGATCAGATTGAGTACAGGAGAAGCAAAGCCTGAAAGCAATGAACGCTGGCATCAGAAACGGGTTTGAAGACCTTCACGAGGTCAAAATACGGCATAACTGACGCCACATGCTGAGGACACCAGCGGCCTCGATGAAGCCCAGCCAGCGGCGCTGAGAGATCTCAAATCCCACGAGACCATGAGAACATCTGCAGCAGATGACCAGAGACACATTACTAACCTGCAATACAGCTAAACAGGAGGAAACACCAAGGCACAACACACGATTAGACACAAACCTCTCTATGCAGGGACATATTGAGAAATGCAAGAAATAAATTTCCAGTATGTGCTTCTCAAGTATTTTTTACATGCACCACACGCGCAGATTGAAACAAGAGCAAGTAGTGCAGTAAGTGCAAACATTTGCAATTAGGAAAATGTGCATGTGCTTCTGCTCAGCTAGACTGTTAAAGTGATAGAGATTATCTCAAATGCATTTTTAAAGAGTACATATAAAACGTTAAATGGTAACACTTTAAAATAAGGTCCCATTAGTTACTGTTAACTAACATTAAAGTAATTGTTCACCCAAAAAATAAACATTTGCTGAAAATGTGCTCACCCTCAGTTCATCCGAGATCAGGATGAGTTTGTTTCTTCATCAGGTTTGTAGAAATGTAGCATTGCATCAGTGTCTCTGCAGTGAATGGGTGCCGTCAGAATGAGAGTCCAAACAGCTGATAAAAACATCACAATAATCCACAAGTAAACCACAGCACTCCAGTCCATCAGTTAACATCTTCCTCCAGTGAAAAAGTGTTCTGGTGTGAATCAGGAGAGAAATCTGCACAGATCAAGCAGCGCTTAAACAGCTCTAAACACATATGTGGCTGGATTTTGATGTGAGAGACAACAGCAGATGCACTTTTTCACTGCAGGAAGTGTTATTCTGGATTATGGACTCTATAGTATTTTAGTTAAAAACGTCTTAATTCTGGATTTGTTTCAGCTTTTGTCTTCTCCAGATGTTCACTGATGGACTGGAGTGCTGTGGATTATTGTGATGTTTTTATCAGCTGTTTGGACTCTCATTCTGACGGCACCCATTCACTGCAGAGCATCCATTGCTGAGACACTGATGCATGTTATTCTGGATTATGGACTCTATAGTATTTTAGTTAAAAACGTCTTAATTCTGGATTTGTTTCAGCTTTTGTCTTCTCCAGATGTTAACTGATGGACTGGAGTGCTGTGGATTATTGTGATGTTTTTATCAGCTGTTTGGACTCTCATTCTGACGGCACCCATTCACTGCAGAGCATCCATTGCTGAGACACTGATGCAGTGCTACATTTCTACAAATCTGTTCCGATGAAGAAACACTCTCAGGCCATTCAAGATGTAGATGAGTTTGAGTACATTTTCAGCAAAGAGAGCACAGAGAAGGTCCCCTATTGATCCATATAAGATCCACATCTCTTCTTCTGGACTTCATTGTGTTTCTATTTAGTTGAGGTCATCTTTATTTGTGCAATCATCTTGAGATCATATGTGTGTATTTTGTCATATGTGACTCATGACCTCATACTGTTCATCTTTGGGTGAATATGACACACTTCTGCCTGGTTTTCCTCATGCAGCTTTCGTGAGATGCACAAAGAAGCATTTCTCCTTTGCATCTTGAGTAAAGCTCAAAACACAGAGATAGTTCTACATTGCGTCTCAGGACTGAGTTGTAAATGCACATTCACAAACACAAAACCAATGAAAGTTCATTTAAGGTGCCGTGTGTCTCCTGACCGCTTGTGATCAGAGTCTCTGGTTTCATTGCTTCATGCAGCAACACTTTGATGTGGTGACTGATCCATGCTGATAAAGTGCCAAAAAAGCAAAGGTGCATTGTTTCTTGACAGTGTGAGTATTTTCTTTGTTATGAGACTCTTTATCTAAAGAGTCTGTGGATTCTGTCAGTGATTATTAGTGCAGACGGCTGTCTTTTCTCCTCAAGAAGAGTTATTATGGATTATGGACTCAATGTATTTGAGTTAAAAACGTCTTAATGCTGGATGTGTTTCAGCTTTTGTCTTCTCCAGATGTTCACTGATGGACTGGAGTGCTGTGGATTATTGTGATGTTTTTATCAGCTGTTTGGACTCTCATTCTGACGGCACCCATTCACTGCAGAGCATCCATTGCTGAGACACTGATGCAATGATACATTTCTACACATCTGATGAAGAAACAAACTCATCTACTTGTTATTCCTGCTGGACAAGCGTCAGGCGCTGGTCTCTGTGCTCTGCATCGCTCCCCAATGACACAACGTCTGAACGGTGAAAGCAGAGTTGGTTTGGCTCGTTTTCATGACACATTGACCATAACCAGGTCCTGGCACACTAACAAAAACCCTGAAAAACCATCAGAGCTGAGGGGACGGATGCGTCCCAGACTGTAAGCCCACAGATAAGACTGAAGAGTGAAGACAAGCTCTGTAAAGATTCTATAAAAGAAAAATGTCCAAAAATGAGAAAAATAAGACAATTCTGTCATCATCCTTCAAGCTCCATTAAAAAACAAAAAACAAAAAAGACTTAGCTTTAAAACGTAAGAAATTGACTTTTGAACTTTATGTGGATCACATCAGTGAAAAAAATCTGTCACATTTCAAAAAGAACAAAAAAGCAACATAAAAGTATTACATAGTAGTCTATACTTGTGCTCTTTATTTCAAGCATTATAAAATATGGTGCCTTTAGAAGAATGTCTGACTATTATAAGACAAAATAGAAGAAAAAGTTAAATAACAAACTCAAATTATATTATTCGTATTCGTATTATTATTATTATTAATAATAATAATATATTTATTATTTGAATTATTTGACATTCAGCTTTTGCTTTTCAATGAAGCAAGTCATAAAGGTTTGCACGGTGAGTAAATAGAAGATCATTTTAATAAAACAATTAATATTATTATTGTCATTATTAATACTATTGTTACATTATTAATACATAATTATTAATTTTATAATTATTTTATAACAACAACAACAACTTACTAACTACATAACTAACTATTTATTTATTTGAAATATTACATTCAGCTTTTGCTTTTCAGTGAAGAAAGTCAGTCAGAAATATTTGCATGGTGAGTAAATGATGACAGAGCGATAATTTTAGTATCAATCACAAATCCTTACAAATGCATTATATATTCTGAAACACAGATACAGCACAACATTGATTCTATTGTCCATTAATCTGCTGCTCAACTTCACTGCGGAATTCAATCTTGAATGCTTTATGATAATCAGAAACAATAGTTGACTCATGAACCGTACTGCCGACAGAAAATCTGCTGTTGATCTGTGCATCCATTTGTTTCTGGCCCACATTTGTTCTGGTTTGAAGCAGAGATCTATGTGAGAGAGAGCGTTACAAAGACCTTCAGAGAGCAATAACTAAATGTCCTCTTTCACTGCACATCAGCAGATATCAAACATATTCACTTCATACTCCAGACTGACAGACCAAAACTGAAAATCCTCAATCCCCATATTTTGTTATGTTGGCTGAGCATCTGATCTGCTACAGATATTAAGAGCACACACCTGGAGGTCCTGGACGAACCTTACGGGACGGTCCTCGATTAAAGCACCAGAGCCATTTAAAGGCCAAAACATCCCATCCACATAAACAACATTATCTGTCATTTAGCATTAATCACACAGACACAGACAGACACTCTCACACACACACACACACACACACACAAACACACACACA